AATCAGGGTCATTATGATGAAATTGAGGGTTCAAAGTTGGAGAATAATCGAAAAATAGGTTTCATGTAGAAAGGTACTCGATTAAGTCAAGGTCGAGTTAAACAACGAGCGAGTCCCACTATCAGGTCTTGGGTCAATGCGTGAGGCATCATTTGGGCCTTAATTTCATATATGGGTCGGGTCTATAGGTCTATGTGTGGGTCACAATCATCCAGAGTGTTCAATATATTTTAGACTAGTTTTCCGTATTTTGGAGTGTTCCGGAATAGATTTTCTAAGGTTTACTTGAACTTATTTATGTTGATACTAATATTAATAACACCAAAAAACATAAATACCACCAAATTCTAGTTCAAACAAATTATTTCTTCTAAAAAAGTACTAACATAACACTAAGGTTTTTTAAACATCATATAATAATGTATAAACAAAACGACAAATACCTACGTATATTAAAGCTCTTCACTATCATACAATATCCTTAATAAAAACATAAGTCTGAAATATGTTCACCTATAAATCCGCAATATTGACCGTAGAAAAAAAAGGCATTAACCCAAAATGTTGTTATAAACTAATTTATATATATATATATATATATATATATATATATATATATATATATATATATATATATATTTGCAAGTGATGTCCAACCTAGGTGGATTGATACAAGAGAACAATGAGTTTGATATGAATATGAGTTTGACGTCAGGTGTTATATATATATATATATATATATATATATATATATATATATATATATATGGAAAAGTTCAATAGAGAACCATTATTAATCAAAGAACCAAGGAACCAATCCAAAGCGTCGGAATTTAAAACGATCAACGGCAAAAGGAAGGGTTGTAAATTTTTATAATGGACGCACATGTACCGGATTATAACAAAACTCACTTCCTTTTTTTCATTTAAAATTTTTTTTAAGCCAAATTGTTTTTCGAAAAAAAAAACCGAATATACCGTTGTTCACGATTTTTCATCCTCTTTTCATAGAGATTCATGATGATATATAAAAAACGAACTTTTTTTTTCGAAAAAAAACCACTTAATTTTCTTAGTTTTTTCAATATTTAAGTTTATTTTTATCAAAAAAAACTAATTATACCAAAAATATTAATTTTTTGTACTCTATTAATAAACATCAACACCGACTAAAAAAAAAAAAAAAAACCTCGAACAGTACATATTGACACTGTGAATCTAAACTGTAAATATTTCAATTTTTAACATTCACAATATGAAAAATCTCGAACAGTTCAGATTCACATTGTGAATCTGAATTATTATTATACACACTGTGAATCTGAGAAGATTCAAAAAAAAACATCGATCAGTGTAGATTCACACTGTGAATCTAAACTATAAATATTTCAAATTTTAACATTCACAATGTTAAAAAAAGCTCCGATCAGTTCAGATTCACACTGTGAATCTGATTTCTTATTATGCACACTGTGAATCTAAGGAGGTTCATAATGTGAATCTGAATAGGTTTACAATATGAATCTGAACAGGTTCACAATGTGAATCTAAACTGAAATAAAGTTTTTTTTTTTAACTTGAATATTAATCTATGTTTAGAAAGTACAAAAAATATGAATTTTGATATATTTATTAATTTTTTTCTATAAAAAAATAAACCTTAAATTTTTTCATTAAAGAAAATGAAGTGGATTTTTTTCGAAAAAAAAAGTTCGTTTTTTATATATTATCATGGATCTCTATGGAAAGAGAACGAAAAATCGTGAACAACGGTATATTCGGTTTTTTTTTTCGATAAAAAACATGGCCTAAAAAAAATTTTAAACGAAAAAAAGTGGTGAGTTTTTTTTGTAAAGGGTGGATTTTTTGGTATAATCCGGTGTGTGTACGTCAAATGTAAAAGTGTACATCTATTTCCTTGGCCGTTGATCGTTATGATTTCCAACGCTCACGATTGGTTCCTTGGTTAATTATGGTTCTTTATTGAACCTCACCCTCTATATATATATATATATATATATATATATATATATATATATATATATATATGATGTCCAACCTAAGTGCATTGATACAAGAGAACAATGAGTTTGATATGAATATGAGTTTGAGGTCAGGTGTTTGAACCTCGACACCTTTTGAAAAGCCTCTTACAAATGTCCCATATGTGAAGAAGTTTTCCCTCAAAATCTCCGTTAAGGCTAAATTTGTTATCTAAAGAAACTCAAACTTATAGTAAAACTTTATTCGGTTGGAATTTCAAAAATAAATAGTAAACAAATAGGAATAGACAAAGCGGGAGTAGGTTTGTGCGTGTAATGCAGAAAAAGAAGCTTGGAATTGAAAAGATAATGAAGTTGTCGGAGGGGTGAAAACGAGCAGCAGCCTTATCTTTCCCCACGTGCGGCCGGCCCCACCACTCTTTCTTTTGATTCTTTTCTAATCACCTATCATATTCATCACCCCTTCATCTCATAAATCATATCATTTGATTTTGTTTTTCAGAAATTAACCAGATATTGTGTTTTGAGTAAAAGTTAAGCTTTCATAATAACCGTCTTGAAAAGGGAAAATACCGGCAATAGTCAAAAAAGAGGGGTATTTTCAAAAAATAGACACAAAAAATTGGATTTCCGGATATAGATATGGATTCCGCGGAGGTAGCTCCGCGGAATCTACTGTAGCTCCGCGGGATGGCAAAATCATAAATAAATGAGTGTATTAAAAAAAAACCTCAAGATCTATTCCGCAGAGCTACCTCCGATGAATGAACTCATTCCGCGGAGGTAGCTCCGAGGAAGGGATCTTCAGTTTTTTTTTTTTTTTTCACATCGATTCTTCGAAGTTTATATTCATTCCCCAACTAATTATTTTCAAGCAAAGATTATCATACTATCATAATCTTTTTCTTGAAATAATTAGTTGTGGAATTAATATAACCCCCGAAGAAACGATGTGAAAAAAAAAATTCTAATGATCCATTCCGCGAAGTTCCGCGGAGTTACCTCCGCGGAATGCATGTCTATACCTGAAAATGTCCATTTTCATGTCTAAATTTTGAAATTACCACCCATTTTTTGACTATTGCCGGTATTTTCCCCCTTGAAAATATATGCATCTAAATATGTCAATGATTAATTAATTAATTAATTTTTCATTTTCAACCTTAATAACTATTTTATGTAAATTTTAATTTAGTATAGCTTACTTTAATTTTAAATTCAAATGAAAGTTGAAATAAATAATGTATTAACTCTAATGTAGTTATAAAATATAAAATCAAAAGGTTTCTAACCAAACGGTATACGGTGTTTTTCCTTTTTGAGATTGTTAGAGACATTTTAGTAGTTTTAAGTAGTTTAAGTGTAGAGTAGATTTGACGTTCAAATATATATATATATATATATATATATATATATATATATATATATATATATACTAGGTGTGAGACCAATGTATTGCATGAGTTCATTTAAAAGAAAAAATAAATATAAAATTCAAAATATTTGAGAAGTTTGAATTCATAAGTAAATGAAGAAAAATATTGAATTATAAAAATTAAATTGTTTTATTTTATCTTCTCAATTTAAACAAATAATTTAGATAACTAAATAAAGGAAATTAATGAAACTTTAATTTAGTAATTTTGAAATTAGAAGGAAAGTCCATTAATGAAATTGATATGCATTTATTATTAAATTTAAATAATATGTGGAATTTAATAAAATAGAAAAACCATAAAATGACATGTGGAATAAAAATTAATTTAAAATAACCATAAATTTACATGTGGCAAAATGAATAAAAATATGACGTGTGGCAAAAAAATCTTTATTTATTAGGGTGTATATATATATATATATATATATATATATATATATATATATATATATATATATATATATATCCGGTAAGAATTTTTTTTTCTACATAATTTTTTGACGAACAAAATGAATGAATCATTAGATGAATCAAAAATAACATGATTCACAAAAAAAATTCTCAAAAAACATTTTGATGATTCATTTATACAATGATTTTGTTTTTATTCACTAAAATTGTCATAAAAATGAATTTTTTCTTAATTTGTTTAAAAATGAATCATGAAAATGTTTTTTTGAGAATTTTTTCTTGTGAATAATCTTACAAATGAATTATCTAATGATTCATTTTGTTTGTTCGTTAAAAAAATATGTAGAAAAAAACTTCTTACCTTCCTACCAAAATTTTCCTTCTTATTTGATCTTGACTCTCTCCCTCTCTCTCTCTCTCTCTCTCTATATATATATATATATATATATATATATATATATATATATATATATTGATTTCATAATATTAACTTTGAAAACATGTTGATGCATTTAAAGATATCGAGCATTTTAAAAAAAAGGTAATATATGAAGTATTTTATTATTAGTTAAAATAAGCCAAGAAAGTTTTTGATAGAAAATTAAAAAGGAAAATGGCGCAACGGCCCTATCATGTATTTCGATTTTACCCTTTCAGTCCCTAAAGTTTTTTCGTGTCTTTTAAGGGAATAAAGTTATTTTTCTCGGGTCTAATTGGTCCTTATTGTCAAAACGAAGGAGTAACCTGGTTACCCCTTATGGCAGCTCACTTAATTGATCTATTCCTTTATATGTTTATTATAAACGAAATGACACGTCTTTTTACCTCATGCACGGTCACACTCTCTCTCACACACACACTCACACACATAGCTCTTATTTATTATCTTCTTGAGGCTGCATAACCTTTTCGGATCTAAATCGTCTTCTTCAAAGCCTATCATTTACTTCCCTAAACGTTTTTAAGAGCCCAAAGGAGATTTGACCTAAAATTCTAAGTTTTGATTTTTTTTTTCACATATTTAATGAAAATTGGATTGAGATAAAAGTAAATGATACTTGGATTAGAGTATACCTTAAGACTTTCCACCACACCAGGAATAACCTCGTGTTCGAGCCCTGTGTATTCCCCTTCAGTATTCTCTCTAATCACCACAATATCAACATTTTTATGGTGCGTGGGTAACCAGGCAAATTAAAACAATTTACAAGCGAAGCGTACAGATCAAGCTCTTTCCTTAACTGCACATTCAACGAACTAACCCCTCCACCCATGGGAGTATTCAAACCACCTTTGAAACACACTTTATTCTTCTTAATCGACTCTATGAACTCTGTTGGTATGGTTTTCATGTCACCATGAACGTCGAACTTTTCGAAGTAAATCAGCACGTGCATCACATCCATTACTTGCTCCACAGCTCCGGTAACGAGGGGACCGATCCCATCTCCAGGGATTAAGGTGACATGGCGAGGAGCATCGTCACCTGGTCGGGGTATGTAAGTGATAGATCGGGATGGGGTCGAAACAGGTGGAGCTGGTCGGTGAAGCAGTTGCTTGAGGATCGGTAGAGTTCGTTTGGCCTTCGGATGCAGATTTGCTTCTTTGATCCAATTGAATAAGATTACAGACAGAGCGGATATTAGGGTTTTGATTGACGAATCTGCTACTCGAAAGGTCGGGCGAATAACCGGTTGTATTAAAAAAAGTCAAATAATCAAGTATGACTAGGCACGTCAACAAAAAATTTGATACATGGCATATGAAACCGGTTGTATTAGGTTAGGTGACCAAATGAACAGGTAAAAAATAACTTTATTCCCTTAAAAGACACGAAAAAAACTTTAGGGGCTGAAAGGGTAAAGTCGAAATATATAATAGGGCCGTTGTGTCATTTTCCCAAATGAAAATCACGAACGCGTGTTAGTCAACTAGACGTAACTAGACTAGTATAATGATAAGGGTTAATGACCTATAATTAGAAGGTATTAGGCATCAGGTATGAATCAAGTGTGTCATATTAGTGTTGTGTGTCATATTAGTGTTATACAAGCTTCATTACATCTTCAATTCCATACTAATACTATAAACTTTAGATTTTAGAAAGTGGATGAAAAAAGTATCAGACAAGGCCGATATAAAGCTCAACATATTGTGCGTACACCTCCCCTCACTTCAATATGTTGTGAAAATAAGTATTTTTCAACATTGCATTGTCGAAGAAAAAGAAAAATGTATATGTGTGTACTAATCCCATTTTCCAGGCTTTTTTTTCACCTATCTCAATCGACATGGTACCAATCCCTTTTTTCTTTGCTATTGCTATGATAAATCAAATTACATCTTATATAGAACTTAGGTGGTAATGACAAACTCTGGTCTTTAAAAAATACTCACTATTCCATACAATCTATATCTTTATTATTATTATTATTATTATTATTATTATTATTATTATTATTATTTTAATACAAGATTTATAATTAAAATTATAAAAATTAAAAACAAATTAATTACATAATTAAAATTAAAGTAAGTTTTTAAAAAATACAACATTCTATTACTGAAAATTAAAAATTACATATTTAAAATTAAAAAGACCAACAATTAAAAGCTCAACATTATAAAATCAAAACGACTATTCGTTGTTGTCGTCGGTCTCATCGTAGTCGCCCTATCGTCGTAGTTTTATTGCCTTTACTATATGTGTTTTGTCAAATATTGACGGAGATTATTGTGTGTTTTTCTCTGTTTTGTATTTTCAAAACTCTCGTGTAGTATGTTGAGGTGTCAAGTTGTATTTGTGAATGTGGATGAAGTATATCATTCGAATTATACATACTAATAGCCCTACTTTTTTTCTTTATTACCATATTATGTAAAATGAAACAATTAGTAATTACATTCTGTATTTTTTTTCCCGATCACATGATCGTGACAAGTGTTTTATTATGTGTCATTTGCTCTTGAGGATTCCAAAAGTCCATTCTACATCATTCTTTGTTGATTCTTATGCTAACTTGAAGAATTTTGTTTTTTTCGTCTTGTGGGTATACTTATGATCTGACAAACATAACATACTCCATGATATATAACATCACCAAGGTAATATCTAAACTTGTATTCATTTCCATTCACAACATATGGAAAGTTATGCGCTTTACCTTGCATAATGAATTTGAATATGGGAGACACACCAAATACATTTAGGTCATTGTTTGTCCCCGCTATAACAAAGTATGAATGTCAAAATCATAGATCGTTTGAAACTATTGCTTCTAGTATTATACTTGGCACTCCATGATCACCTCTGTGAATTGACATTCCCATGCATCGAAAAAAAATTATCATGCCCAATGTGTACACTCAATGCTACCGACCATTCATGGGAAGTTGTGTTTAGCTTGATATATAATTGTTCAACATCACTTCTTGTTGGCTTTCACAAATATATGTCACTATACATTTTTATATCATACTCACAAAACAAATATGTGTATTTTCATGCTATTCTTAGGGACATCTTCAAATACTCATTTGATGCGTCAACGACGATACCATATACCAAAATATGAAGTGTGGTTGTACACTTTTGTAGCATAGTGATACTTCGTCCACCTCTTGCATCTAATCTCAATTGAAAAAAATTCATAATTATCTTCCAAATATTTAGCTATAAGTAGGAATAAATTTCTACCGGTATGATAACAAGGTTTGAACTGAATATAGTTGCATAAGCAATCATCAACAAAGTAACCACATACCAAAATATTGTGTGCAACATTATGATCCTTGCTTATTGAAGTTCTAGCCATCTTGATGGATTTGAACTTTCAACGTGTTAACCCAAGATGGTGGTTGCCGCTTCCAGGAATAAGTGAAAAAACATATCATCGTCATTAGTTGAAGATGATTTTTTTCATCTTTTGATTGTGTTGGGTAGAATTTTTAGAATTGCAAAATGGTTATGCGAAAGTTTTGTAAAAACATTGTGTGATATTTATAAGGTTAAATATGAAGTGGTTGGTAATAAAAGAAGTTATCATAATTTTTTTAAGTTCAACGGTCAAAAGACCGTGTATACATTCTCTCTTATTTATGAAGCTACGTAAATGGCCTTACACCACACCAAATTACTAGGAGCTGGGGCATGTGTTCACATATGGGTGGCTAAGCCATCTTAGCCTTTCGAGTATGCTTAGGTATGCTTATATGTTATTATTACACAATAATATCTTGATTTACAAAGACAAGATTAGAGACCATAATGGAATATATTATAATTTAGATATATTTGTTGAATTACGTTGTTAATTTCTGAAATAATGGACAAGTTTGTTCTTCAAACAAGTGTTGTAAAAGTATTTTAGTCTTGGTATAGAGGTGGTTGCCCAGGTATTGTTTTGGTCAAAAATCGACTGAGAATATATTAACCAATTTTTATAGGGGGTGTGGTGTTGTTGGTAAAGTAATTATCAAAACTAGAACAAGATTGCACAAATGGTTTACAAGTAAAGTCATTGATCCTTGCTAGGATCTCTGGCACCAAACCTTGGGAGGTGATAATGATCACCTATCTTGATTAATTGTATAGATTGAATGATTAATTACAGAAATGAAAGTAAGTAAACGAGTACAAGTATTGCAGTGAGTTTATGTATGTGTAGTGTGCGGAATACATGTGTATTTATAGTCTAGTATAAGCAACAATAAGTCTGATATTCCCGGGATCCTCTCGAATAAGAATGAACACGTTGGTTTGACCTGGTATTCTCGGGTTTTTTCCTGATTGAAACATTTCTTCGTTGAGAATGAATCTTATGTTGACTAATTTTCCACATGTGAGAAAAATACTAGAAATATATCTGTTAGAAATGTTAAGAAATAATAATAACAATAATGATCAGGACCCTGAGATATGTTCGGAATCCTGAATGTTCTTGAAGATTCGGGATCCTAAACAGGGTTGAGGATCTTGGCACTAACAATTGCCCCCAAATTATTCCTGCAAAATATTAAAGTTAATCTCTGAATATTTTAAAGGTTAAATTTAAAATAAAAAAGAAGAGTAAGGATTTTGAAGTTTTAACGGATAGGGAAATTTGAATCCCAACGGATAGAATTCTAGCCGTTGAAATAGTCATAATGATATGTCAAATCATCCTTCTTCCCTTTTGTGATTCTCGCATAAATAGGTCATTCTGGTTCTCGATTCTGCCTTACTTTTCCAGCTCCCTTCCAGACGCTATTGAATATCTTCGAAGGTACTCTCCCTGTTCCTTTTCTCCTTAATTTTCTTTGTCTTTGGTCAAGGGAAAGAAAGCAACTTGCTCTCGCATGAGCATCATCATTATTCCCAATCATGAATTCGTTGATCAAAAAGCCTTATCTTATGAGGAAACTTGTTCCTTCAACGATAACGACTTCGAAGCTCTAAAATTGGTTGGAGCTTTTCCTGCTGGCGTCGTTTTCAGACCCTTCGATGCCAAGATTCAACCAGACTTTATTTCTTCCTCTTGGGTTTGCTTTTCCGAATATCCTTTCTCCATAGGTCTTTCTTATCCTTTTCATGGAATCATTTTCGAGTTCTTTGAGATTACCAAAATTTCGTACATTCAAGCCATTCGAGTGGTTTGGAGGATCCTTTACTAGATCGATCAACTGAACTGCTTCATGGGTCTTAATATCGGTTTGAATGAGTTAGCTCATGTGTACGATCTTTTGACCTTCGGGAAATCTCATTTTTTACTTATAGTCAAACCTGATAAAGTCACCCCTTGTTCTGAAGTCTAAGCATAATGATGACGCTTGGAAAGGGAAATACTTCTTTGTGAGACACGACTCCATTCTTGACGGAAATCTCTTAACAAAGTCTTGGGTTAAAAAGGGTAGGGTTTCATGTTAATATAACTAAGGATCCTGGAATTCACACTTCTTATTTTTTTTTAATTTTTTGTAGCTTTCAAGTTTGAAGAGGTCGTCCCTCCTGCCGATGACACTGAAGATAGGATTGAGAGTTTATTTGCTTCGCCTGAGATCGAAAGGTCATTCAAGCTTGAAGAACCTAATCATCAAGAGAGTTCAACTGTTATTATCCCCATGTCAACTAGTAAGGATCCTTAACTTTATTTCATTTTCTATGAAGGATCCTGAACTAGTTAAACTTTTTCGCCATGTTTAGGATTTAAATATACACGTTCTGGTGCTCGATTTACCCTTGTCGATATTGATTTTGCCATGTCTAGCGACCAACTGGTGGTCAAGAAAGAAAAGACCTCATCCTCTCTCCTTCGTAACAGAGCTCCCATAGATTTTAATGTTAAGACTCCAGGATCCCGAAAGAGGAAATCAATTGAGTTTTCCTACCTGGAGAATCTTGAAGCGGATGAGGTGTTGAAGAAGTTAATCTCTTTCTCTCAATTTGTAAGCATCCTTGTATTTTCTTATATCCGCCTTTATTTTCCTTACTTTTGTCTTTTAGAGGTGGTTGGCCTTATCTCTCACTCCAACGAGGATCTTAAGGTTAAGCTTGATCGGGTGGAACAAGCTTTGAAGGAGCAAGAAGCGACCAAAAAAGAGCTTTTACAGAGGGTGGAGAAATTAGTCAAGGAGAAAGCAGAGAAAGAAGAGGAACATTTAGCGGAGATTGAAGAGGTAATTATTGAGGCCAGGAGTAGTGCTGTTGAGGCCGTTTGGGAGGCAAAAATCAAGTTGGCAGAGGATATCAAAAATACGGGGTCCCGGAACGTGATTGGATGGCGTGTGTGATGGGTTTTAGTATACTACAACATCCTATGGTGCACATACAACCCTAGATACATTGGATCTATGTTTTCACTAATTATGCATGCAAATGGTTTCCAAGGCATTAAACCTATAACTAGCATGCATTTGACATAAACCATATAAGATACTAGTTAGAGTTACATACCTTTTATGTAGCTTTAAGTCTTGTTGTACTTGGCCTTAAGAGCTTAGCCTCAATAGTGTGGAAGCATCAAATGAAGCCACAACACATCATGGACAAAGGATGAAACTTGAGAGAGAATTCATACACACCAAAACTGCCCATATCCTCCAAGAATACATTAGTAGTGATTTTGGCTATGAAATAGCACATTTATATGTAGGATTCCAAGGGTCATGGGTATAACCCAAATCCATACCCATGGGTGTTATGATCCATGGTTCATGTGGCCCAACTCTTTATGTATCCATACATAAACTTGGTCCAACATGGATCATAAGCCCAACACATATAAATATAACTAATTACCATAATTAGTCCCCATAGATTTAATTAGTCTATTTTGATCACAAAATTAATTCCAATTTAATTCTTGATCATTACTAATTAAAACATATGATTTCATATTAATATATTAGAACTTATAATATATTAATAAATCATATATAACCTTCTCTCAAGAGTCTATCCTAACAAATTGTCCTGATGATATGGAACCCAAATGAACCATGTTACTCTCGGGTCAAATACATACCAATAATAGTTATGGGCTTAGACATCTAATCCAACAGTCTCCCACTTGGATAAGTCTGAAACTATTATTACAAGTAAGACTCCAAAACCCAACTAGCAATCGTAGCTCTTAAAAGCCGCTGTCGAACTCTGACCTAGTCAATGACGCGTCCATTAGATAAGGGATCATATATTCCTCCGTTCTAGATACCATATGGACCGAGACATGGATTATAATCATACTCTCTGTCCATCTGTTGTTTCCCGATTTCTGATTTCTTACGACCGACTAATTGAACAAATGAAATCAGTCTAGGCCCGGCCGAGCACTTATGATTGTCATCACTAAATCATCGTGGGGCCAACAAATATCGCTTTTATCCCTCCAAGGGTAAAAGGAATGGATAAACTTCGACTCATATGCTTGTACTAACTACTTGTTGAATCATATACAAAGGCACGTTTTATAGCATCAATTTACTGATGCGTTTTCATACAATCAATGTACAACCAAGTCATAGTCAACAACTCATATCTCTAGGTTTGAAGAATATAAGATATTATCGTCTCATGATCACTCGTGATAAAATCCATGAAGTGATTCAAATGAGCGTGGGTTTAATCCAATACTCGAATCTCATTCCAGGAGCACTCATGAATGTTGCAGCAACTTTTGCTATGTCTAAACACTTTAGACATCTACAAGCCCAATTCATGAAAGTCTTGATTCATACCTACTTCCAAAGTATGATTGAATGTGGAGGGTTTGAATAACCTAGTTATTCGGGAAGTCAAAACATGCAAAGTGAAACACAAGAATAATCGAATCCAATATGGTCTCAGAACTTATGAATATAAATAAAACACCTTTTATTTATCACCATATTGATTACACATTATTCATTGTATAATGTTTCGATTTATCAACCTAATACTTGAATTAAAACAATAGTCATGTCATGCTCCAAGCATGCACACTATGTTTGTCTATGATCCTTACTTTGTGAAATAGACCAATTGAACATGATTCCAATGATGCTCATTTCACAATCCCAAATCCTTACCGCAAATGTAGGAATACAAGATTCTTTGCCCTTTACTGAAATCTGTTAGATTCTAAACTTATATGCATTGATCCTCTTAATGACTATGCACACAAGTCACAAATACTTGGCAACAGACATTACAAAGCATTCCAATGGAGAGCAATTCCATGGAAACGAAGTCCCACATTCAAAGTACATTCCTTTGAATATCCTTCTTGCATTACGTTTTCTAATCTTACACAGATTTAAAAGAATAACTTCCACCTATGGAAACATTTCCATATTCCAT